ATACTGCAGAAATATTTCTATAATTTCTGACATCTCATTTCACAGGCGGCTGTGGAAAATATATGCGAAGGAGCATCATCTCCAGCCAACACAGCAAAGAGTTTATGAAACACTTGCAGAAAGCAAAACAAATAAACAAAAAAAAGATATTTAGTAGGGTTGGCACTTTTGTGCTTTCTAACCAGCATCAGACTGTTCCTGCCAGCCCTTGGGGTCAGTCACAAAAATTACCACCTTTTGTCGTGCTGAAAAAACCCAGGCCACTTTGAGCTGCTTATACTATGGTAGCTCAAGGCACACAAAACTGAAGGCTCATGCTGTGGATGTCCCTTATGAAGGCAGAGCAGAGGCACATAGAGGAGCTTTTTTTTCTTCCTTTTCTGATTGCCTCCTAGCTCTAAAAATTCTCCAAGGTTTCTGTTGAAATTCTGTCTCAAGGTTAATATTTTATTGCATAAATATTTTATTGCATTCAGTCTAAATTAACTGTATATTTCACTGTTGTTTTGCTGTAAGTGGATATTGTTTAATGTTTAGTCATTAGTCTTTTGTTTTACCTGGGAATCACAAGAATATTGGTTAATGCATTCTATCATAGAATTGTACAAAAACATTGACAGGTAGATATGTATATGTATGCATATATAAATACACCAGGTATATGTGCAGGTACATACACATATTTTGTATAAATATGCTATTTATGAATACCACATACAAAATATTCCAGTGCTGTTTGTTTTTTTTTCACTTTTGAATTAGTCATAAACTATACTTTTATCTGTCTTGGTCTTTTTGAGTGCTAATTTTGTATGGATCTGTGCACAGGTAGGTGAGAAGAAAAATATAAAACAGAAGAAAGAGTCACAGGACATTGTGATGTGGTGGCACTTAAAACCTCATCTTCATTAACCTTGGATGGCTCACGGGAAGTCACTCACCTTTATGATTTACTGCATCTTTGCAAACCAATGCAAACAACATTAGAGCTTGTTTTACAGGATGTGCAGAAACCTGCAGCTATTTTTCATAACCCTTCCTCTGTTAAGTCTCTGCAAATGTTAATTAGCTTATGATGAATTTCATTCGGAGGAATTTTTTATTACAAAACGGGCAGTAATCTGTCCCCTGTAGAATAAAACATCCACTCTTTCTCCCCAAAACTGGAAGTATTGAAACCAAACTGATGAAAGCTTAACTAAGGGGACCATTGCCTAACCATAATTTTTGGAGACTGTTGTAGAGTGGTGCTGGATGGAATTCCTGTACTCTCAAGGGAAAAACATTATTTCAGTGTCAAATGGAAACTGATCATCACTGAGCAGATGTTCAGGAAGTACACGAAAGTTTAAATCTCTCTCACAGGTTTTACATTTGCAACCTAAGGAATTGATACAACAGAGTTTGTTAAATTTTACCTGTTGAAACTGTGCTTAATTGGTGTGTATTTCACTCTACTAGCATGGTTTTATACTGATTTTTAGACCACCTAGTGTATAAAGACTTTAAAATTTCTGAATGCACGGATTTTCTTCATCCCAGCTCACATGAAGTGCTATCTAGAGGGTTATTTAACTTGTTACAGAGCAATCACAGTCTGTGATTTGAGAATCTGAGACAAAGGCTGTTGTCATTTCCTTATGTACCAGTGCTGCATAGTGCAGAGTTCCTCCAGGTTTATAGAACATCAGAAATGTCAGACATAATTTTTGCTGTAATTTTGTTTTATACTTTATATACTGTTATATACTTTATACTGGAGAGAATATACTTCATCCCAGGAAGGTCTTTTTAGATAAAACCAGCAGACAGAAATCAGCTGCAGGTTAGCCGCTCCTACATAGTTGCAATGTTTGACATTCATTAGGGTAACGCCCACCTCAATATACTCTCAATATACTGCACTTCCTTTTGGATCTCACTTTATGGATATCAAATAACCTTGTACCATTCTTATCTATATCCAATGCAGGGAAATGCCTGTAATTTGCTAAAAGCTGTATTTATACTGAAACAAATAAATGATTTGAAGCACACATTCCTGAACTGGTCTCCATCCAACTGTCACAACTATTTTAGGAATATAGCAATCTTATCTTAGCTGCCTTAAATCTCTGCCAAGTCTCAAAACTGACAGCACTATTGGGCCTCACCAGTAGAAACTGGCTGTGGAGAAAAGAAACCTTCAATAAGTCTGTATTTATCTGTATATATCAATTAAATTCAGCTTCAACAATTTTTTTATTTCAAATTTAATTTTTTTTTAATTAAGTTCCAGATCAATATGTTGTGATTTGTAAAACTGTAGGAATAAAGGAAGGCTATAGAATCAACACCTGTTTTCTCTTGGCTGGTATAAGGGTCAAGTCTTCTGTCTGTACAAAGCAAATTTCCATTTAGCTGTGGGATGGGATGTAGTCCAGCAGGAAGTCTTCAATCCACACTAAGTAAACAAGGGTATATAATTTATATGACAAAAGAGGACATGTTTACAGTGCTTAGAAAAATACAGGTATCAATGTATACAGTAATAAAATATTTCTGTTTTAACAATAAAGGTTTGAAACACAGCTTTGTACTGTACTTGTACTGTACTGAAAGAATGTTAACGACTATTTGTCCTTATCAACAAGTAGGATTTCTGTAACTGAAAAACTTCCCAATTTCTATTTACCAAATGCTTTGTGAACAGAAGCAGTAGAAGAAGAAATTAAATATACTTTGTGTGTCTTTATTAATGCCGGTGTGTTAAAGCAGAGTGGGGACTGCAGGCACCCAATGAAAAAAAGTAAGTCCTGCAATGGCCGTAAGAAGGCAATGTCCGGAGTTCAGGGGAAAAGAACAGAAAGAAAACTGACCAGAGTCTCTTGGTAAATCAGAGGGAGAGGGGGCAGCTAAGCAAACAACTTGTTTGACTCGTTTTGTACTTCTGTACTTTTTTTAAACTGTTGCAGATGAAAATGCAATTATATACGAAATTTTAAATTTCATTAATTTACTGAATGACTCATGAACTTGCAGTACTATTATGGAAGTTATGTTAATAATATATATATATATGTGGCAAAAAAATTAGTTAGATCTTGGTAGAACTTTCAGCACCTTTTTATCCACAGGCATATCACAGTAACTGGAGACCTTTGGAGTTTGAGTATGGTAAAGAAACATGAACCTGTGATTCTGCATTCCAATTTGTCTGCCAGTACCTTGGATTAAGTATAAATGTACCCACAAAGTGCATATCTAAATGACTGTTTAAAACATAAAGCCAATTATTTTAAATACTTGCTTCCACTGCACATTATCAACAGTAAAAAACCCGTGTTCCTGCAGCTGCTGCTGTTGCTCCAGCTGATATACACTGAACAAGCAATTTTTGGACTGCCCATCATCTTCTGTGTTCATGATCAGCCCTTGGCAGACCTCCCAGGGCCATGTATCTCAGCACGTATCTGTAGGTTTGCTCACTTGCAAGAGAAATGCAGATGATGTGAAGGAACTGTTAGAAAATGCAGCAGAAACAACAATAACAACCTGATCAATCTCCAGAACACTGCAGATGTATGCAGGTGCTGCAAGATCTGGATTAAGGCTCTGTGCTCTTCCCTGCAACTATGCCATGCTGGAAGGCATGCACCACGCCCTCTGAGCCAGGCAGGGCTGCCATGCTATGCACAGACTGATGCAGGTTGAATTCTTCCAGGATATGTCCTTCTGGGTAGGTATGTACAGCAGACCTGAACGGGATTTTTGAGGGTCATTTCAAACATCATGTCTTATGCCTAACTTCCCACCAGAGAGCTTAAAATAGACCATGTGCTGGATCAGCAGAACCCTCAACACCCTCCAGGACACTGATTAGCAAGAAGCTTTTCCTGTATTACTGCCTCACTTCTGGGTGACTCCAGGATTTCAGTCACTGACGGCTTCAGTTGCTGTCATGAAGCATGTAGCAATAGAAGGGGTGAAGCACACGAAGTTGCCTACGTGGAGTGCTGTGTCAGACAGCCCTTCTGCGTGCAGCTGAAGAACTCCGTGCTGTTCTTCCCATCACAGTGAACTCGTGTGCTTAAAATTTTAGGCAGAATGGAAAGCAAAACCTATACATGCTATTGAATCACTTCAAAGGCCAGTGATGAGTGCATGGAGTGCAGGAAGAGCAGGGAATGCCTCAGGCGGGGGATGTGCCTGACCCACGCTGCTTCTCACCTGGAGGCTGAAGCCGTTCTGAGGCCTCGCATACACCCACCCATCCAACAGCACTGACTGGGGCTGCTTCCCAGCAGCTGGCTTTGATCTGCGTCTGGGAAGGACTTTTGTCCTCATGCTTCAGGGAGTGTGGCTGGTAAGGGAAAGAGCACTCCCTGAAAACTTCTTGTTCCTCCTGTTGATGTATGCGACCTCAGCACACACATACGTGCCCAGAAACCACTGCTGCTCTTATTACCCTTATTATAGAGAATATCTGTTTTGATCACAGTTACTCAGTCATGATTCAACTTCCAACAGCTTTGTGTGACCACGACAACCCCTGCCGTATTTTGGAACAGCTGTCAGTACTGTTGTCAGTCAGGAGCTCAGTTCTGTGAGGACTCCTCAGGCTGGGGTACTGCTTTCTGACCAAGTACCCAATGAGTGCCACTGACAGGAGCCTCAGTGCTGCGGGACACATCTCAGTCCCAGGCTAAGGCCACGGGACGAGCAGCTTTACGCTCAGGACTGTCGGAATCCACAAGCCTTGCCAAGAGACTGCGAGAAAAGGCCTTCCACGGAGAAAGCAGTAAAACTGTCAGTAACTCCACTTGTAAGTTGGAAAGTGTCGACACTTCCCCGTCCCGCCCCAAGCCTTAACAACAGCCACACAACGCAAGCCGCTCCCGCGTTGGAGGAGCGAGCTGGGACGCCCTGCCCTGGCCCCCCCGGCCCGGCAGGAAGAGGAGGGACTGGCCGCGCGGCTCGGCAGCGTCTCTGCTCCGCGCCGCCACCGGTCGCCCCCCGCCCGCAGCGGCACCGTGCGCCATGTCCCAGCCGGGCTCGGGGCCCCCCGGCCCCGCCGCGGTAAGGTGGGCAGGGAGCGGCGCGAATGCGGGGCGAGGCGGGCGGGGGGCACGGCGACTGCACTGATGGACCCCGACGCCCCTCATTCCCCCTCCCCCCTCTCCCGCCAACCATGACCCCTCCGCCCGGTCCGCGGACCCGCCGGCACCGCCCTACTGCGGGGCTCGGTGGCGGCTGGGGCGCGGCCGTGGCCGCTCCCGCGGCGGGTGCCGCCCCCGGAGGGAGGTGGCCGCTGGGGTGCGGCCCGTGCGTCTATGTGCCGTGCCGCGCCGTGCCGTGCGGAGCAGCGAGCAGCGCCATGGCTTTCGCGCGCTGGTGGTATGCCATGGTAAATGCGGGGGGGCGGCTGCGGCCTGCGGAGGGCTCCGCACAGCGGCTGCGAGTGGGGCCGCCCGTGTGTGGCACGAATGAGCGGGGAGGTGGGAGTGACGGGCGGCAGATAAGCGCTGTTCACGTGCTTGTGTTGTTGTGCGTCAGGTCCTGTGAAAACCTGTGGCGTTTTCTGGATGTAGCTCCGAAATTCTGCTGTGAACTTTGTCTAAGCGATGCTGGAACGTGGGTTCGTTCGTGCTGATGATTGTTTTTGTGATGCTCTGAATAATGCGAGCTCTCGAAGCGACTAAATTATGCCATTCGATCAAAACTCAGCCATTAAGTGATTTGCAGCATAAGGCAGAGCTTGTGTGGGTTTGTTTCTGCTTTGGGTAAAAATCCTGCAGTGTGCCTTTTTTTGGAAACGTGTGCTTAGCTGCAGGTAGGTCATGGAGCTGCCAGGAATAATTTTGTCTAGCTGAACAGTCTCTGAGCAAACCTCATCTCTCATGGCACTCTGTGGTTCAGCTCAGCTTCGTCAGTGCTCATTAGAGTGACAGGACCTGTAATTGCTTACAAGTCATCTGAATTATTAGTCATAGCAGGAAGCAGTTGGTCTTTCAGAGGAGTGGTGAGAAGGAGCCTGCCCTCTCTTAAAGTTTTAGAGAAACTATATACAGTGAAAGGTGTCTTTCAGAGAAAACATCGATTTAACATATTTCCTGAATAATGGTTGAGGTAAATAGGATCCCCCTAATTTCTAATTGCACTTTTCCATTGCTCAGAGTAGCTTGGATGTTGGATTAGTGATGTTTCTGAGTGTTACTTGTTATAATAAGTCAGTGATACGGCATGATGATGATACCACAGAATCAGAAATAGGAAAGTGTGAGAACTGATGCATTAACTATTGATGGCTCTGTAGTCCTGGGCTACTGAATCCAGGATAGGAAAAGATACGAAGGCCACCTCGTTTCCTGCATTCACAGAGGGAAACCACATCTCTTGAGGTCTGTTGGAAAGCAGTCTGTGTAGTTACTGGTCTTTGTGGGAGACCAATGTCCTCTATGTTCATGTAAACATCTATCACTTACTGGGGTGCTTTCTTCCTGGAGGGCATCATGGTCTAATAAATGGGGGAGTGCAGCAGGCGAAAAGGAAGAGAGGAACAGATATGAGAGATTCAATGGTTGTTCTATTAGGTGTTGGTTTGGTTGTTTGTTTTTTTTTCCTGGGAGATGTGTGCAAAGCATACTGATCTTACAGCCCTTTGCATAATGTGCAAGGGCTGTAAGAAGAATCTGGCTTTCACCTATGCTTTCTGTACACTTCCTTGATGCATCTTTCATCTGGCAGTTCTGTGAGCAGCATCAAATATCTCTGTCTTTTTCCCAGTTTCAACTGAAAAGTGATGGTCAGATTCCTGTCAGCATAGAATGATTGTCTTCAGCAGCAGCAATGCAGAGTTAGTTGACTTCAGCTGAGAGTGTTGCAGGCAGACTTCCCATCTTACCCAGTTACTGACAGAGGTCATTGCTGACCTCTGAGATGCTGTGCAGTGTATTTGAACTGAGGGCTTACTGGTGCTAATGGAATTCCTGATGTTTAGGAAGAATGTCTTGGAGCAGGACCTTTAGCTAATGTCTGATTTCTATAAATGTAAGCTGAGGATGCAGTTGTACATTCTGTTATTAGTATTTTGCACAGCATTTGAATGTGAAGGTAAATGTGCTGAGGCAATAGTGTCAAGATGTTTTTCTGCATGCAGAATAAGACAAAGATCTCAAGTTAAACTTTGTTGTTGATGATACTTCTTTGTTGTTTTTTCTTTTTTTTTTTTTTTGGATTTGTCATTGTAAGTGGTTTTGCTTGCTTTGTCCTTAGTGAAGCATATTTGGAGCCAATTTATTTTTCCAACAACTACAGAAAAGTGTTGCAAATAAGTTACATTTTAGGTTTAACTAAAAGTGTATGCTGGCCCTTTTTGTGACAGAGTTGGAGCTGCTTCTGCCATCAGTACATGTATGTTGTTACCACATACATAAATTTCTTTGACATTGTAAGAAAAATGAGCAAGAAAAAGGATGCCCAAAGCAAAAGCAGCCTCTTTCACCCATGTGGATATAAACCATGGTTGGTATATACCAAGGCATGCATACCATCCCAGGAAAGCTTAACTGAGTTTCTTGCTAAGCAAATTGATTAATTTATTTAAACTACAAGTCTCAGTGCTTGGAAATGCAAAGCAAAAGGGAGCTGATGGAGGTCATTTTGAAAATAGGATCCCTTCTCATATCTTAAACATAAGCTTTTCATGGAACCAGTGTGATCTTTGCGGAAGGTGTATTAGAAAGTTGTGTTTTCCTCCTCAGTTTACCTCCTCAGGGGGGCAGACTTTCAAGTGAGATAATGCCTTTGTAGACTGTTTTATTATCTGAGGCCAGAGAGCATCAGTGCTTAATGTGTATGTAGTATGTGACTCCAAGTGACTGGATAAAAATCACTTTGGTGGGGACTTACGTGCTTGTTCCAAGTGTCATTTGAATTTTAAATTGGAGTCTCATTATTGTAGATGCTGTTTGACACAGCTTTCTAGTGGGAAGGCTTCAGGTGCCTAATCTCTGCCTGACTTGAGTTTAGGTGTGGCAGAGCTGGAGTACTTGGCTTCCCTAGGGTGCTTCAGGGTTGAGCAGTTGATCTTGAGGGATGGTTGAGGGAATGCTGCCAACCCGTTTGTCCTGCCTTTCCTCTTGACTCCCAGGCTCTCTCTGGGAACCTCAGATTACTGTACCTGACAGCCCGGTCTAGAGGTAGAAAAAGAGGCTTGACACTTCAGTTGGGATGCTCTTCACTTCAGCCCCCTGCTGGGACATAGTCCTGGGACTGAGAACTCTCTTGAGGCTATGATCCTGTCTGCTGTGTGTTTCCTTGGAAGGAAAGAAGATGTGGACATAGGTAAGAAGGGTAGTGCCTGGTTTGGCACCGACAGAAGTCTGGTGTACACAGTAGGGTCTGTGTAGGATTCCTGCTTTTTGTGACTTGCAAAGGAAAAAGAGAATCATTCTGGACTTCAGTTGGTGTTGCCGCCCAAATCTGAGAGAGCGTACCAATGAGATTGACAACATACATGCAATATCAGGAAGATGTGCTTGCTTTGTTAACCTGCTTCCATTATGATAATTAATATTCTTTTGGGAAGCCAATAAAGCCTTTCATTCTGTGCAGTATGCATTTGCAGTTCTCCATAAGCTATCTGTGTTGATAACAGTAAGAGATGCAGCTGGATTCATGGTAGCACTCAGCTTTTTGAGTTTTGTGCTGCAAAAAAGATGGCAAGGTGTATGAGGAGCGGCTGAGGTCCCTGGGTGTGCTCAGCACAGGGCAGAGGAGCTGAGAGGAGCCCTCAAGGCGGCTGCAGCTCCTCACAGGGAGCGGAGGGCAGCGCTGAGCTCTGCTGTGTATGACAGCGACAGGGCCGAGGGAACGGCATGGAGCTGTGTGAGGGGAGGGCAGCTGGGGGTCAGGGAAAGGGGCTGCACCACAGGGCAGTGGGCACAGAATGGGATGCACAGGGCGGTGGGCACAGCCCCAGTGCTGGAGTTCAAGGAATGTTTGGACACTGATCTCAGATGTAGGGTTTGGGTTTGGATGGTCTTGTGTGAAGTTAAGATTAGGACTTGATCCTTGTGGGTCTTTTCCACTGTGATCCTATAATGAGAATGTCTGTGTAGGATTGGAGTCTAGTCTGCATAAAGTAGTTTTGCTGAACAGCAGCCATAGAAGTTGTTTAAAACAACCTATGAAGTTTTTGTCCTCTACTACCATAGTGGAAATGGATAAGAGACATGACTTTTTTATTTTTATTTTTATTTTTGTTCTGTTTGTTCGTTCAGCTATTGTGTCCCCAGCCTGTCTGTTGCTGTGCTTGAGCACATTCCAGCTGAAGATGGGCTAGTGATACATGGCTCATTACTTTCTAGTTGTAGCCATGCAAAGAAAGTGCTATAGGAACTCATTACTTAAGTGATTTAGCAAACTTCTCCTACTGCTTAGTCTGCAAAACAGAAAGGAATGGATGGTTCTAAACTCAACCCTTCTCTTTACTCAGCAACACCAAACAGTTTTCTCTGGTGTCTGAGTTGCCCTGGGATACTAACTGAGATATTAGATAATGGCTTTATTATGTCGCTTTTTGTTATTCATGGGGAAACTTACTTGCTTTTAGCATCTTTTTTTTTTTTTTTTTTTTTTTTTTAATTCTAAGGTTAAACAGTGTGCTGTTGGAAAAGATTTTTTTGAGGGACCATACTCTCTGTTATCAGAGGTGCAAAATAAAGCCAGTGTTGAATACAGTGCACTTGCAGAATATTCTGTATGTTGCTACACATGAAGAACAAGTAGGACTAATGGCACATTGGGTTAGGTGGAAGGAAGTTTAATGTCTTGGATGGGATGACACAAGAGTTTTGAAGAGGAACTGTGTCTTTAATGTGTGCCTGTGCTTGAACCATGACAGAGTTTATGTTTTCTGTAAACAGCAAAATTCTAGAAGTCAGAATAGCAGATTTCTTCCACATAAGGAGGATTGGACATCATGAGCATTGGAATGGTTATGAAGAAAGTTTAGATGTTGGAGTGCATGGTCATGGTTGGACATGTAGTGTTGATCTGTTAGAGCTGGTTTGTTTCTACAGGAGTCTGTGGAACTGACAGCGAGTATAAGAGTGCCGTGCTAATCAAGACTAAGTAATAACATGAATATCTTATAACAGAATGTCTCACAACAGTAGTGTTAAATGTAGTACTATTGAAATCATTATTTTCTGACTGTAATCTGTTGAAGTCGTCCAGCAGGAGAATGCAGTCTGGTCATGAATGATGAGCCCTATGGGTCAGTGTTAGCACTGGTGTTTTTCAACATCTTTTTCAAAAACTTAGTGGGACTGAGTATATCCTCAGCAAGTTTGCTGATGATACCAAGCTGAGTTGATAGAATAGAAGGAAGGGATGACATCCAAAGGGACTTGGACAATCTTGAAAAGTGATTCTACATGATGAGGTTCAACAAGGGTAAGTGTAAGGTGTTGCACATGGTTTGGGGCAATCCCATACAGACTGGGAGAAGAACTCCCTGAGAGCAGCCCTACTGAGGACTTGGGGTTTCTGGTAGACAAAGAACTGGGCATGATCCAGCACTGTGCGTTTGCAGCTTGGAAGGCCAATGGTATAATGGGTTGAATTAAAAGAGGAGCGGGCAGCAGGGCAAAGGAGGTGATTATCTCCCTCTGCTCTGCCCTCATGAGGCCATACTTGCATTGATGCATCCAGACTTTGGGGCCTCAGCAGAAGTTTTTTGAGCTGTTGGAACAGATTCAGAGAAGGCCACGAAGATCATCAGAGGGATGGAGTACAGAAGGCTCTGAGAAGTCACTGTGGCATCCCAGTACTTAAAGGGAGCTTATAAACAGCAAGGGTACAGACTTTTTACATGGTGTGATAATGACAGGATAAGGGGAAAAGGTTTTAAAGTAGAAGAGGGGAGATTTAGATTAGCTATTAGGAGAGAATTCTTGGTGAGGCACTGGCCCAGGCTTTCCAGAGAAGCCGTAAATGTAGACATACAGGCATTCAAAACCATGTTGGATGGGGACCTGGGCATCCTGATCTAGTGGATAGCAACTCTGCCCACAGCAGAAGTGTTGGAACTATTTGATCTTTAAGGTCCCTTCCAACCCAAGTCATTCTGTGATTTAGAAATTTTGTCCATTCGTGAGAAGGGAGATGTACTGTTCTATTGTCTTGTATTGTGGAGAGTGATAGGTGCATTATACATGCATTAAGATACTTGAGACTTTCTCAGCATGGAAGGTACAATTCAAGATCTTAATATTTACACATCTCTTTTCTTTACTTATAGCAGGGCGACAAGAAGGCAAGTGGAACTTCTTCCAAATCAGGAGAGAAAGAAGCAACGGAGGTAAATTCAATAATGCAAATATATTAACAAGAAAAACTCAGTAATTAATTACCTCTGATATAAATTTTTGTCTTTTGATTGCAAACTGGTAATTTTCAGATAAAACTGATTACGTTTTTTGCAATAAATTGCACACACCTGCAATAAATTGTAGTTTTTTCATAAGCTGCAGAGCCACCTGATGTTTTCTTTCTTCTGCTTTCAGAAGTTCTTCCATTTAGTATCAGTAGAAATTATCTCAGTGAATTTGTGTGCTCTGCAGTGCAGGTACACTTTGATACACATCTGATGGTACTGGCTTTTTGATTGTTGGGAAGCGGGGATAAAGTGGAGTGTTCTGTCATGCTTCCTTTCTTGCTTGTACTCTGGATTTTCTTCCAAATGGGAATATTCAGGCATAGATTTTTCACATCTGAGCCACATCTTGGCACATTTGCATATGTGTGGTCAGTGCTGTATTTTCAATAAATATTACTTTTTGAAGATACGGCTTTGTCAGGAATGAAGCTTTCCTGATCAGGAGGTCATACTGGGCTGTAATGTTGAGTATACAGCAGGCGGTTTTATAGTCTGATCATAAAGGCTGTTGATGACAGTCAGAAACTGTATGGGTTGCAGGCTGTGTTCGGAACAGTACTTTGTACTTCTCCCAGGAGGCCTAAATTCTGTTAGTCACACAGAAATATGTTGTGTGCTGTGGTGAGTCACTCTTGTGCCGCAGAAGAAAGTGTTGTCTGAGCCAGGATGCAAGTGCCAATAGTGATCATTCATTCCTCTCAGCTGATGCAAAATGGGAGCAGTACTTTTCCAAGGAATGTTAGCAGCAGATTTACAAAGAGAAGAATTTACAGAAGCATCCACTACTTGTCTACTTGTTGCCTTCAAATATCAGTTATTTGTGTAAGGGAAGCTGAAAGTAGGAACATCTGATACTTCATTCTTAACAGAAGCTATTTGGAAAAAGAACTTTGGGTAAGCTATAGTGCTTTTAACTGCTGTGTCTATCAAGAGCAGTTATCATTTTATTACTGTCTTCAGAGTAGATGATTAGAGCAGTTACCAATCTTTCCTGACCAAATACCAGAAGAGGGGTGCCTGTGCTGGGTACATGATTCTTTTATCTCAAGACAGTGTAGTTTTCTTCAGCAGTGCTTTTGTACCTTCATAGTTTTATATTAGATTTTTTAGATTGCATGTTGTTGCTTTTAACATAGAAATGCTTACCGTTCTGTGGGACTGATGGAAGTTGAAGTCCGTAGTTTGGATGGTGGAGTTACTGTTCCAAACTGGCAACAGAAGGCTGTTAATAAGTTTATTTTCCAGATGCTTTTGCTTTTACAAAAAGCTTCTGATATACACCTCTCTTTCTTCTAGAATGCTAGCTTGAGGCTGTTTGTTTTCTGAAAACAAAACCAAGATGTAGCCTTAATATGTTATGCCCATTTTTCTTTAACCCTGGTTCTTCATAGCAGCCAATGATAGTTACTTGGAAGCACTTAGGGTGCACTAAATCTTAGTGCTGTTTCATCTAGCACAACAGAGAAATATTTTGTAATGGTTTGATAAGTCTGTGAGATCCTGCTCTACAGGGCCACATTCCTCTTGTAAGGGTTAATCTCCTTTGCTTCATTAATCTTTGTGTTGTATTAAGGAAAAGACACCTTCACACTGAGATCCTGTTTGCCTCATTTCAACAGTGCTACTCAGACTTCAAGGCAGACTGAGTGATCTGCTTGCCCCAGGAGTGGTCAGCTTTAGGTTAGAACATGCATCATCTGTTACTGTAATGATGACCAATGGAATATGTGCAAGATACTGCACAGCTACAAATAAGTGGTTTGCTGGAAGGGAGGCAGCTGGAAAATTCATGTGTTAAAATGTGTAAGTGAAAGGAGATACAGGCAACTCTTTATCCACATGATCCAAAGATAGCATGTGCATGTGTTACAGTTGTGTTGAGCAGCACTCACAGACAGGTTTACTGGTCATATGCCTTATCTCTTTGTGTCTTGCATTTCAGAACCTTAAAATTGCTAAATTCACATTTTGAAGAAGATCAGACACTGAGAATCTTATGTTTGCCTTGAAATGTTTTCATTGCTTGTGGATGTGTGTGTGGTAGAAAATAGCATAAAATAAACGATCATTGTTGGAGTTGGTGGTTGCCCATGTGTTTTAATCTGTTTTATGCATTTGCAGCTGGAGTGTACCTGCCATGCTGCAGGACATGCTGCCGTTTTCCCATATCCATGCCTCTAGGTTCACAGCTCACTCTGTGAAAACTTGAGATGTTACGGTCCTGAGTCAACATGTTTGCAAGATACCATTGCAAAATGTGAGAAATAGCAAATATCTTTTCTTCTTTCCTCCCAGTTTTCTAAGTCTTTTGGCAGTTTTTATGTGCAGTTTTAGTATGCGAGAGACAGCTCGCATAGTTTTTTTTTACCTTTCATCTTAACATCATCTTCAAGCTTTTGTGCATCCTTTCAGAAGTTTCAGGTCACTTTGGAATTTGTATACAATTGAGGAGTTACTGCTAATGAATATTTTGGATGCTAGATAAATAATTTTAAGGGGGGAGAGGAAAACTCACTGCATAGTGAATGATAGTTTATAAAACATCTTGAAATTAAAGAAATTAAAGAAAAATAGATTAATCTATGAGTCTGTGAGAAAGAGCATCAGCGTACATCTGAGCTATTTTTACATGGCTGGTTTTGCTGTCTTTTGTATCTACTGTTTGTTATTGTTCGAGAGAGGGAAATTGGTTGCCCGAATCTTTGCCTGGTCTCAGAAAGGTAGATACAGTGTTACAGTGAATTGCCTTGTCACGGTCATGTTCTTTTTCTGTGTTTGATAATGCCACTTCAGTGCGATGCTCCTGGAGACGAAGGATTAGCAAAAGAATGCAACTCCTCATTTGGGAATCTCAGCTGAACTGCTTCAAGCACAAATCTTGATCCTGCCCTAATCTCCTGTGAAGCATTCCAGAGTGTTAGGCAGTCTGATAAAATCTGCTGGGTTCAGAGTGAGACTTTTTTTACAGTATTGAGCTTTTCTTTAAATTGTGCTTTGATGTGAGACCCAATAAGCAATTTTGAAGTCTATGCATTAAATACAGCAATGCTTGTAGAAGGAACAGAGGTGCTGGATTAAAATTTAGATGGGCATGATTCAGATTAGTTAACTTTTGAAAAAATCAGTTCTAGTATATTTAAAGGTACATAAGTATGACATTGTCCATTGCAGGCTGCAGTGTACTTTAGTACATATTCGTATGTGTAATTCCTGGTTTTGATGCAAACACTACTGTTATGTCTGACAGGTTTTTGAAATATGCCTTCTCTGTTTTGAAGTAGCTCATGCTGGTGTTACTAACTGCACAAAATCTGGAAAAAGCTGTTATCTTTCCATTGAGTGAAATAGAGCGAAATATCAAGGGGAGCTTCTGTGTCAGTCTAACTATGTAGTTATTGCGTTGCTGGTGTCTGAATGTGAAAACGAGGACCTCATGATCTTTAAGGTCTTTTCCAACCTGAACAATTCTGTGATTCTATAATTCTATAAAAGGAAGACAGAGTAATATGTTTGAGGAATTTAGAGCTCAAGATTAGGACAAAGATGCATTTTCACAGAGATGGTATGAAATAAGATCCATATGAATACGTACTGCCAATTCAAGTCATGCTTTCAAGCAGTGTAGGCAGAATATGTGCCACTTCCTTAGCTTATTATTCTTTACTAAACAGGAAATGTTCCTTATTTTGAAAGCATGATGGCAATAACTGGCTTTAAAACACTATTGTTCTTTCCTCTAACAATAGGATTTGACATTTTAAAATCCTGATGCTGGATTTCTTTTCCAAAACAAACATTAGAGTTAGTTGGAGTCCAGGAGCATTATTCTGAGTAATGACACTATGACTGGTAAAAATGTGGGAGGATGCTTGTTATTGATTCAAATTTTGTAGGATCATGAGTACCTTTGATGAGAGCATTTGTAGAATTTCTTCCTGCTTTAATAACAAGTTACTTATTTTAAACTATGTTGTTGTTTGTTTGTTTGTTTTCCTAAGCCTAATGCTTCTTGGAATGCCAAATACAGTGCTTTCAAGTCCCTGGAATGCAACTTTGCTTTAACAGTACACTAGCTTTCTGATAATAGTTTTATTCTTTGTAATGGGAAAACACAGTCAGTCAATATGGTGATGAAAATCATTGGAACGTTTGAGGAGTTTAGGCTTTCATGCATTGCACTTGAAAAAGAACAGTCAGTATAGAAAGATCAGTGTGCTGGTTTAAAAAAAAGTTATGTGCTGTTACAGATGCACTCATATTTTTATTCTAATTTGAAAAGTCACACTCTAGATAAGGCTTTTATATTCATTAAATCTTTAATAAAAGGAAAAAGATCACTCTGCAGGATGGTCTGGCTCTGTCTGTGGATCCCAGAGGGAACCTAGAAGATTGACACAATCCAGCGCTGTCTGTCAGGGGACATAGGGTGGCATTAGGGAAGTAATTGCGTGGATCAGTCTTTTGTAGAAGGAGTGATACTGGGCAGTAGGGTAATGATTTGTTTGCCCGTTTTTCTTTGCTGCTTTTCTTTCTTTGCTGAGATATAATTATATCAGGTAAGTTTTGATATTCATTGGGAGTTGTTATGATTCAAGACTCTGTCTACTCAAGGCAGAAATTTGTTGATCATGTGATTGTTGAATCCAAGATTGAAAACTGTAGGTTGATACACTGCTTGGAGTTGTTAAAAGCATTTCCTGAACAGAGATTGAGTGTTCTTTCTTCATGTGATGACTTTTTTTTCATAAAAGGAAACTGCACTGTAGTTGTTTTTAGAGCAAAACTATAATGAAAAAATGAAATCGTGTAGCCTATCCTGAACGTGTAATCAGTATTTCTGGATACCAGTGTTGCTGCAGTTCTTCAGTGGGAAGATCTACATATCAGAGTGATAGACATTATATCTCCCCTCTATTAAACAT